ATAAAGGGAACTTCAACACTGTCTGGAGGAAACTACACACATGCAAGTCATATAGTGTTCTTAATGATCAGATTGAATGTCATATAAATGTCACTTCTCATTAGTCTAACATCTAATGCAATCCTAATTAAGAACCATTCAGATGGATTTTCAGGATAAACTGATTCTAAGTTTCACATAGAAAAATGAGCAAAAATACCCAGAAAAGCCCTGAGGAAAACAAGCCAGGTCCAGTGATGAGGTATGATAAGGCCTACCAGGAGATAAAACAGATTTTAAAGCCAGGATCATTATCATTTTTTATGAAGAATCCAGGCCACAACTATTACAAGTTCCATCATTGGCTCAGGTACCATTATAAAAAACACTTGACTCTGACTTCTTAGATGCCTCCCGATTCAGAGATCTCTGCTCTTTTTAAATTTAATTTCTTGTTTCTCACTCAGAGCATTTATTAAGAGTGAAGTTGGTTCATCCTATTTAGGCTTACGCAGCACAAAAAGTAGCTCAGTCAGTAAAGAATCTGCCTGCAGTGTAGTAGACCTGGGTTTCATCCCTGGGTCTGTAAGATCCTCTGGAGAAGGAAATGGCAACCCACTCCAGTATCCTTGCCTGGAAAATCTCTTGAACAGAGGAGCCTGATGGGCTGCAGTCCATGGGGTCACAAAGACTTGGGCACGACTGAGCGACTAACACTTAACACAAAAAGACACATACATATTGAGAGTGTTAATAGCCTCTGTAGGCAGGTCAGAGGTGCCCAAGTGGCAGGAGGAATTAAAACTGCAATTGGTGGACTTTTTTTTATTCCTTTTTTCTCTTAAAGTTCTGTGTTGTCATGACAATACCTGCTTCTGCCTGAACTTAACTTTATTTGAAATCTTGAGCTTACCAATGCATTTTTCTCATGGAAATGTCTTCCTTAAGCTATGTTAATGTGTTAAAAAAAAAAAAAAAAAAAAACTATGTATTTGTTTGGAAATCTGCCTTTCTTCAAGATTCTGATTAACTGTTTTATGGCCAGGCATGACTCAGCTTGTGCCAATGCTGTCTCAAAATGCATGTTGTCAGTGAGGTGCCCGGTGCAACTCTCTCAGCCTTGAGGTGTTTTTTTTCTCTAATGAGGATTTGCTAATAGGTATATAACTCCATGCTAGAAACTAGCAAGAGGAAACTCTTTCTGTCCCCTTCTGATATCTATGTCAGAAACTGTCTCTTATGTCTTTTGTACTTTAATAAAACTTTATTACATAAAAAGCTCTGAGTGATCAAGCCTCATCACTGACCCCAGATTGAATTCCTCTTCTCTGGAGGCCAAGAATCCCAGCGTCATTCACAGCTCATCACAGCAACATTTCAATGCTAAAGAGATCCTCCCAGAACTAAGAGTCTTTTAATAGTACAGAGCCATAGATTACAAAATGAAAATATATATGACCCCCCTAACTTATGCAGCTTCACAGGGGGCACTATGTGGGTCAGAAAGATCCCCTGGAGGAGGCATGGCAACCCACTCCAGTATTCTTTCCTGGAGAATCCCATGGACAGAGGAGCCTGGCGGGCTACAGTCCATAGGCTCGCAGAGTGGGACACAAATGAAGTGACTTTGCACTCATGTACCCTAATTTGTGGGGAAATTATTGTCACAGACAATAAGAGGAGGCATGAAATAGAAATTCAGTTACAAAATGAACAATAAAACAACAAATTTGCACCCTCCAAACACTCTGATAGGCAGAACAGATAACAGACATGTGAAACAGGAGATATACCCAAGCTCTGTCATTGTCAAAGATATGTTCATTAAGTGAAGGCCATGGAAGGGCTTGTGTTTAAAGATGCAAGCTCAATGAAAAAGTTGCCTGTAGACATGCCTACCCTAAGAAAAAGTCCCACCCTGCCCCTGTCTGGATTCCACAAGAAATGGGGTCAACTTCATCCTCCCTAACTAGACACTTGGAAACTGTAATAAAATGGAGGGAACACAAAGGCAGCCCTGGTGCACCCACTCCCCCCCAGGTGTGATCCGAGCTCACCTGTCCTTCAGTCCAGCTGCCTTTCTCACCAACAGGGATGGGACGGCTACGGGCCGGGCCACAGAGCTGTGTCTGCTCAAGTCAGGGTCACCCGAATGACCCGCCTGAAAGGCTGAAGTCTGAGCCACAGACCACACAGCGAGTGTATGTTGTGAATGTTTGGATTCTAAGACAACACATGTCCCACCAGGACGGTGGAACCTTGGACTTCACTCATAGGCTGCCCTATTCTCCCCTCCCATTCATTTGGGAAAACTCGACTGCCTTCCCAGCCTTGAGTCCAGCAGGTTGTTTCAGTCTCTGAGAGCCAGGCTGGCCTTGGGAACCTCTGCTCAGGGACAAGGTCTGGATGACCCGATGCACCCCTACAGGCTGGGTCACGGCTCTGCTCCACCTCGGGAAGCGGATGAGCACTGGCCAGGTCAGGAGGGCAAGAGGCTGGTCCAGACAATGCCCTGGTGCCCGGCAAGTCTTGTTGAATTTGTTTCCCCATCTCTAAAAGTCAATGACCATTTCCCCAACACCATTTAATGAAGCAACTGTCTTTCCTCTCCATTATGTATTGCTTTTAATTCTGTGTTTTAAGAAAAGCTCTTAGCTATTAGCCTAGCCCACCTTCACTGAAAACCTATCTATAATCCACATTAATGTGTTCTTCAATTATTTTAATGCATTTTGATGCAATGAAATTTAATACAAAATTTATTCTTATTGCATACACCTTTTGAAGAGTGTGGTTCTTGTATTATGAATATATTTCCTATTCGGCTTCTGACAGATGATACTTGACACGTAATTATTATGTAGGGAACAGAAAACTGTACACATAAATACAGAGGAAAGTTGGGAACATGATCAAAGCAGTTTCCATAGAAATGAACTGTCCCAAGATTTACTTGGCTCTGGGGACGTAGGCTAAAATGTAACACATAGTTGTTGCTATTTTGGTCTATGAAATTCCTTTACTGTTTCATTTCAAAGTATGTAAAGTATTAAGAAAAATACCACCAAATAAAACACTGTATAAGTCAGAAAGGCAAATCTTGTATATTAATGCATGGGTATGGAATCTAGAAAGATGCTACTGGTGAACCTATTTGTAAGGCAGCGCTGGAGAGGCAGACATAGAGAACAGACTACAGACTTGTGGACATAGTCCAGGAACAGAGGGCGGGGCCAACTGAGGAAACAGCATGGAGACATTTGTATTATTTTATGTAAAACCAGAGCAAGTGGGAATTTGCTCTGTGACACAGGGAGTTCAACCTAGTGCTCTGTGACGACTTGGAGGGGTGGGATGGGCAGGGAGAAGCGAGGGAGTTTCAGCAGGAAGGGCACATAGGTATACCTGTGGATGAGTCATCCTGATGTATGTCAGAAACGAACACAAGATTGTAAAGTAATTTTTCTCCAATAAAAAAAAAAGAAACATGATGTGGTAAACAGAATTAAAGGCTATTGAGAAAGACAGACCAGACTGCCTTTTTATTATAGAAAAACATTTATTGTGTTAACATTTTCACTGCTATGACAACTTCTGAACAAGGTTTAAATAAACCCCTTAGATGGACCTTCACATAGCAACATTATAGGAGACAAAATTTACCTTTTTTTTTTAAATAAAGATACTAAAAAGTGAAACTTTAATGCTATATTCTTTAATATCCATAAAAATTTTCAACTCAAGTTTAAATACTTTTTGCTTCATTAAGGAAAGTATAAAATATTCTACACTTTAAACACTATTATTTTAAGATTCAGGTATCTCTTCATACTGCCAGCATGCTTCCAATACTTGCACAGTACGTCAAATAACTGTAACTCTGAAAAATCTTGAACTCTGAAAAATAAACACAAAAAAACACATACTGATGTAGTGTGCCCCTAACAGGGCAGGGTGATCCTTGTCTCCCCCAGTGATCAGTGAGGCTGAGCATCTTTAACTCGTTGGGCATTTGTGTGTCTTTGGTGAAATGTCTATTCAAATCCTTTGTGCATGTTCTAATCAGCTTGTTTATGTTCAGTTTTAGGAGTCCTCTATGTTATAGATATTATTCCCTGATGTGGTTTTCGCCATTGTTTATTGAAATGGCTCCACACTGGATATGTGTGCCCAGGGGAATTACCAGATCAAGGGGCATATGGGGAATTCCCTGTTTGTTCAATGGTTAGGACTGAGTGCTTTCAGTGCTGGGGACTGGGTTCAGTCCCCTCAGGGAACTAAGATCCCACAACCTGCAAAGCATAGCCAAAACCCAAAAAAAAGGTATATGTATTTACAATTAATACACTGCCACATAATTGCTCAGGTGTAAGAGCTTACACTAATTTACACCTCCATCAATTCCATTATATGCTCAATGATCTCTCCAGACAACTTAAAAGATTTTTTCTCACTTTTGAATTAATAACTCTAAGATATATTAACTGGAATTTAGGGAACAGCTAAAGAATAGAGGCGTGGTACATGTGTGTAGTTGTGTCCAACTCATTGTAACCTCATGGACTGTAGCCCACCAGGCTCCTCTCTCCATGGAATTCTCCAGGCAAGAATTATGGAGTGGGTAGCCAGTCCCTTCTCCAGGTATCTTCCCAACCCAGGGATCAAACCTGGATCTCCAACAATGCAGGTAAATTCTTTACCATTTGAGCCACAGGGAAGCTCAAAAGTTTCATGGAATTCTCCAAGCAAGAATATTAGAGTGTGTAGCTGTTCCCTTCTCCAGGGGATCTTCCTGATCCAGGGATTGAACCTTGGTCTCCTGCACTGCAGGCAGATTCTTTATCATAGGCCCCAAATAAAGAATAAGACCTGATTTATTATGTTAATGGCTCTTAGAGATAATGCTGATTGTAATAAGCACACTAACAATACATACCTAAGGAAAACAGGCATTTGAAAGTCCATGAGTTTTTCAAATTTTACCTTTTTTAGTAGGCTGGTACCATTTTTCTACACAGACATTAACGATAAAACTTCCTGGGTTTTCCCCATTTGTTTTCTGTTTCTTTTTTCAGTTTATTTGCTTTGTATCTCTCAGCCATTGAGACAAGATCCTCTGGGACACTCTGCAGCCAATAAATGTCTTATTAGGATTGAGATGATACCTTTAACATATCAGCTTTTCTATAACATACTAAAATGCCTCCAAATAGAGAATCTCCACAATTGACTGCAAATACCTTCCAGACAGAATGGAATGTGTTCTTCTGCACAGTCAACACTGAATTTTCAAGGTATAAAAACCAGTCTGGTGGTAAAACTCCCTGTCAGTAGGCACGCAGCCCTCCTGCTCACATGGCCCTTGGCTGCTTCCCAGTGCCTTTACCTGGTGCCGTTTTCTCCTCTCGAGGCCTGAGGATGTGCCCTGCTTCTCCTACACTCTCCAACCTCCGCCCACCGAGTTCTTCCTCAGCAGCGTCCAGTGACACTGCTCCACATTAGAACAGGCTCCCCGGTTATACATTGTATCATCATATTATAGCACCTCGTCTTTGCCATGTTACAACTCTCAAAACACACATAATTATTTGCTTAATATCTGTATTTCCTGACAGGCTGTAAGCCCCAGTACTCGGAATAAATGAAACTTGAACCTTAAAGAGTTGCATATTCTCACCTGATTTGCTCTTTCCAGAATATTAATTAATTCACCAGCGATCTTCCAATCATTTCTAGTGATAAGGGTAATAGATACCCCGGTCCTCCTTCAAGGGGGAAAAAGTTAATGTAATTTGATTTATACTTTATATTAATGATTCAGCTCGCAAAATTGAATAAAACTATAGCAAAACGTCAATTCTTTCACACACCCAGCTATGTATGATGCATTAAGATTTAGCCATTCAAAGAAGATGTAGTACATATATACAATGGAATACTTCTAAGCCATAAAAAACAATAAAATAATACCACCTGCAGCAACATGGATAGACCTAGAGATTATCACAATAAGTGAAGTAAGTCAGACAGAGAAACACAAATATCATATGGCATTATTTACACATGGAATCAAAAATATGATACAAATGAACCTATCTCTGAAACAGAAATAGAATCACAGACATAGAGAACAGACTCATGGTTGCCCAGAGGGACGGATTTGGGGGAGTGATGGAGTGGGAGGCTGGGGATAGCAGTGGAAGCTTTAATACATAGGATGGCTAACAGCTAGTTCCTACTGTATACAGCACAAAGAACTATTAATATATTCAAAACCCTGTGATAAACCATAATGGAAAAGAATATTTAAAAATGTATATCTATGTATCACTGAATCACTGCGCAGTACAGCAGTAATTAACAAAACACTGTGAATCAACCATACTTCAGTGAAAAAAAAAACTTAGCCACTGAAATAGCCATTTGGGATCTAATCGGCAGCTGATCAAACAGCACATCACAGGGGTTTTACGACTTTGCTCGAAGAGAGAAAGTAAAGGGCCTCTTTTTCAAAGTAAGGACAGTCTGTGAGAAGAATGAGGGGTCTCCCCCGGGTTGGTGGGCAGGCTCCACAGACTTACCCTGCTCTCCCGGTACGTCCCACTCTGTGGACATATTCTTCGATGTTTCGGGGAAAATCATAATTATAGACATGCGTTACATCATGGACATCAAGACCACGAGATGCTAAATCAGTAGCGATCAGTATTCGCACTTTACCTGAAGAGTGAAGCCCAAAGAATACAGGCACATTCTGGTACAAACCAACCCAAGACATACCCGTTCCCTATGAGCTAATCAGGTGAAATATTACTGCTTTGAGTATCAAAAAAAAACTTAAAAGACAGTGCATGGGGAAAGGGTTACTTAGTCTCTCTTTTTTTTTGGCCACAAGGCATGTGGGATCTCAGTTCCCCAACCAGGGATGGAACCCCTGCATTGGAAGTTAAAGAATCTTAAAGAATTTTAACTTCTGGCAATTTACAACAGAACAGATACCACCATTCAAATGGTTCATGAATCATGTCAAAGATATATGCCTTTCAGGTAAATTAAGACAACCATCCCCCACTGCAAATTCTTACCTTGGTATCTAGGTTTTAAACATGAGTTGGAGAGACAGAATCTGATTAACATTTAGAGCTAGTTCTGGGATCTGTTTAGCTGAAGGCAGATTTTAGACATGGGTTCCATGAAAGGTGCCATCACTGAGGAAGACCAGGCATTGGGCAGTTTTAAACCACAATACTAACTGTATAAATGTACCTGTTTTAAAGCTTTTTAATGCTCTCTCTCTATCACTCTGTTCTCTATTGCCATGCAGAGACTCTACTGATATACGCCGGATACCCAGGTCACTTGATAAATGATCAGCCCTAAAACAAAAAATAAAGTCAGGGGTCTAATTGCTTATTTGAATACCACAATCAATTCATTACTGTTACTTCCCCTGGCAAGAGTCTGAAGTAATGTACATACTGTAAGACATACACCCTCCCCTCGTTTGAAATGATTATACAAATAGAGACAATGCTAAAACAAACACATGACTGATGATTTCAATGTAAAAAATACACTCACACAGCTTTCCGGCTGACAAATATTATGACTTTGTCCTTGGGAGACATGCTCTCGATGAAAGCTTGGATATGTGATCTTTTCTCATCTTCTGTGGTGACAATTATATTTTGTGTCACGGTACTTACAGCCTAAAGGATTCACAGATCATGGTACATCAACATTAATGGGCAAACCCCTTGATGGCTCAAAATCCATCTTACTTCTGTCATTGGTTAAATGTTTTAATAAACTGCCAGCAGAAGAAGTGGCAAGTTCTTCCAAAAATCTCCCGTTCCTACTCAGGGATTTAGAGCTCAGTCTTTGACTTTTTATCACTTAGTTACCCAAGATAAGCTTGGAATTTTGAATGCTTGTCAATGAGTTGAAGGCAACTGGTTGCTGTCATTTGAAAAGGAATGACCATGGGTTGAGGCCAAGCTTACAATAACCACTGCCATGAATTGTGGCTACAGCCTTTACAATGCTCAGCTTATGACACTAAGAGCTTCAATTAAGTATTGTGACAACTAAATACAAAATTTCCAAATATCATTGTTACCATTTTTCTGCCCCCAAGATGAAACAGATTTTGAAGTCTTTACCCTGACTTTTGTGAAATCTAACAAAATGGGCCTAGGCAATTGGTATTAATTACCACTGATTTAAGTAAAAGGTCAATTTTCATTAATAATTAGTTAAAAGGTCAATTTCAATTATGAAGTGAAAGGCCAATGAACTTTATAATGGCAAAACATTTACAAAATTAATAAGATATAAATAGTAATCAAAAATAAGCTTACGACTAGATCCAAAGTACCAACATACACAATCATGGGCTCTTTCAAGTAAGATTGTGCAAGTCTACGGACAGCATATGGCCATGTTGCGCTAGAGGTAAAATGTAATACAAAAATGTTAAAATGTTTATTAGGAATCAAACATTACTAAGTTTCCCTAAGAATGCTATGAACCAAATTACCCAGGAAAGACAAACAGTACTTTTTAATGAGGCTGATTTCACAGAAAATATATGCTTCATAATGAACTGCTCAAAGAAGCTACTAGATGAAATCTTCAAATAAGTTTAATAGGTTTATAAACAAAAGGTGAAGGAGAGGTATACCTTTCCCATCTACAGGGAGCTAAAATGAATTCAGGTGTTAGATTAGTTTTCTTTTGGCCTTTATAAATGGTAAAAAATAAAAGTAAAAACCCAGTGTTTTTCATACACTGTGTGTGTGTGCATGCTCAGTCGTGTCTGACTCTTTGCAACTCAATGGACTGTAGCCCACCAGCCTCTTCTGCCCATGGGATTTTCCAGGCAAGAATACTGGAGTGGGTTGCCATTACCTCCTCCAGGGTATCTTTCCAACCTAGGAATCAAACTTGAGTCTCTTGCATCTTCTACATTGGCAGGCAGATTCTTCACCACTGCGCCACCTGGGAAGCCCTTTCATACATTGTCGTCAGACAAAACCAAGAGCTTGAGCCAAATAAAAACATTTTAACTGTAATGATGATTGGATATGTAAATTCAGATGTTTCTTCAGTGATATATTATGAAAACAACCACCTTCTGTACTTTCATACTAATTAACAAGGTTTACTTAGGAAACAAAATGAATAAATTTAGTGTATTTCCCCAGTTATATACTCTTCCTTGCCTCAGTTTTATCTTGGCTAAAAAGTGTTCTGTGATCAAATATTCACCTATAAGGACAGATGGTTACTTTCTCTAATCTGAGACCCCCTATAGAACAGTCTCCCCAGGATGTTTTCATAAAAATCTTATTTTTAATTCAGGAAACCCAATAGTCATTGTTAAGCTGTTGCACTGAGCTGCTATACTAAATGAGAACATATCTTTCACCAACAGATCTCAAAATACTTTTACGTAAGGCTCTAAAATCAAATGAATTCTGTTCCACTGGTTCCTACTTTGCAGACTGGCAAATTAAACATATACCTACCTTGTCATAACTGTCTGCCTGTCTGGGCGTACATCTAATAAAATCTTCATTATCTGGGGTTCAAATCCCATATCCAGCATTTTGTCAGCTTCATCTAATACCTGCATTAGAAAGGGCCAGATTAGGGGAATTTCCTGGTGGACCAGTGGTTAAGACTCCGTGCTTTCACTGCCGAGGATGTGGGTTCGATACCTGGTAGTGGAACTAAGATCCTGAAAGCCACACGGCAAAGCCAGAAAAGGGCTAGATTAGATGTGGATGGTAGCTAACATATATGTTCTTTCCCTATGAATATTAAGATAGCTTTCTCATTTCCTCCACTACCTAAACTATGTGTACTTGCAACACCACTGATCTGTTTGACAACAAATAAGTTTCTAAATATATTTAATGAAAATATAATTTAAATGTCTATAAAGTATTCATGTGGAATTCTTTTGTACTTATCTGCATTTTCTAACATTCATAAAATATTAAAATGGAATTACCTTTAAAATGTGTATTTTAACAAACTAGAGAGAATGAGAAGCATTCCTAGGATTTAAAACTGTTATGAAATGGACAGCCATTTTAAAAGGTTTGACGAGCGCTAAGTCCTTCCCCCCAGGACCTCAAACCCCTGCTCCAAGATTACCAGGTAGGTGATGCTTTTCAGGTGCACCAAGTTATTCATCTGTAGGTCGTGGAGTCTTCCAGGAGTGGCGATGATAATATCTACACCTTTCAATAGATCTTTTATTTGTCCATCTCTATTGCCACCACCATATATACAAACACTTAAAGAAAATACAGAGGTTCATGTTCAGGTGGGGAATACCCCATCACAATTCAAAACCCCAACCAACCTAAGCCCATTTGGGGTGTAAAATTTTAAAAAGTATATAAATCTAAAGTATCAGGCTAAGTATAGTCCTGGCTCCTTTCTGAGAACGATCCATAGCCATCAACCCACACTGATGTGTCCTACAAGGTTCACATTCAAATCTTCGTTACCTGACCCCACCGCCCCAGCTACAGTCAATTTGAATGAGGGGTAATCAATGCCTGGCTACATGCTGAGCCAATTGGCTTCTCATTATGTGTGAAAACAATGAGGAGGATATCTAAAGCTACAGAGGATTAAAATGCTGGTGCAGCGATGGCCAAAGAAAGCAACTCACCTTTTAAGACCTCTGTATGAGTATTCAGAGCACTCAGCATCCACCTGCAGAGCCAACTCACGAGTTGGGGTGAGGACTAACATGCCAGGCCCATTCCTGGCTCTTTGGAGAAAAAGCACATCAGTATCCATCTCAGGCACAAAGGACCTTGGTCCAGTGCCTTCAAAATCAGCAGCAATGAATGTCTAAGTCATCAACATGCACCTCTTATAAAAAGTGGAGAAATGAAAACAGCCTGACCAAAGAATCCTAGAGCCCAGACATGAGCCTTCTCGTGGAACACAGCCAGTGCTTTTCTGTGTCAGACATTCTCAGAGGACTGTACTGAATGCAGTCATTTGAACAAACTGTTTCCAACATCCCACTGTGAAGACTGTGGTGGATACTACCTGCTGCTTCCTGAAAATGAAAGTGATTTTTCCCTGCGATGAAGCACTGCCCTTGGACCAGTGCAATCAAAGAAATGTTCATTGCATTTTTTGGAATCCTTATCTACTAAACCCCTAAAGAGTACCCAGATGTAGAAATTCTTACACAGGTTGGGAGTCAATATGAATAAATCCAGGCATTAAGTAGGACAATGTCTTCCCTGTTCCAGTCTGGGCTACTCCTATCAGATCTATTCCTTGTAGGATGATTGGCCATGCCTGTGACTAGAACAGAATGATAAATATTAAAATAAAAAGTACATTTCTTTCTGTCAAGTATTCCTCCTCTCCCAGCCCCAAACTTCTCAACATTTTCAGTGCTAGGCAGTGGTGGGTGTGCTGGGAGGATGCTTATAAGAGACAGTTGTCCCGGATGTTATAAGTTCAAATGATCAGAAATTGGCAGAGGCGGGGGGAGTCAGTGAAATGTTAGAATTAAAGAAAGCATACCTGAATTGGTGTTGGCTTTTGAAAACCTGCCTTTTGAAGATTTCTCATAACTTCAGGGTAACAGTGAAATGCATCCTCAAAATTACAAGTAGGGTTAGGAAGAGGACGTTTCTCACCATCTTTCAAATCATCACAAGTTATATTATAATTTTCCTTCCTTTAAGAAAATAGAACAAGGATTAGTGGCTTTGATCACTTTACTCTTCAAGCAAGAAATTTTTTTCCAACATTAAGGGCATATCTAGAAATTCAATGGCAACTGATTAAAATCAGACTGTTGGTTATTACAGTAAAAAAAAAAGGTAATACGAAATAGAAGCTGGTTCTTCTTTTTTTACCAGAACAGTTCCAAAGAAGAAAAATAATTACACTGTACACATGAAAAATGAGCCAATGAAAATTTCATGAAAAGGCTGAGAATAGAACCTGAAAATTATATGCTTCATGAATCAAAGTCAGACTTGGCAAACACCTGAGGGCCTATAACATTTCACACACATATCCTTAATTAATCCTTCAAAGCAATCCTCTGAAGTGGGAATTACTCTCATTGGACAGGTGGTCTCTAGTTCTCTGTCCACAGTCAGAGCACTACCTCAATCCTAGAATAACTGCTCTGTCTGCTGTACCATACTAGCTTAGTTTTATAAAAGATATTAATAGAAAAAAATGTTACCATTAGGACTTTTAAGTCCATATAATAAGGATTTAAAAGTAAGAAATTATTCTACTATTCAGATATCAGATCAATTTCTTATGATTTTCAACAGTTGTAGAAATAATTCTATAAAATTACTGCCAAATAGGACAGAAACTAACCATGTCTCTCTTTAAAATTAAACATCAGAATTCAGCTCCTTAATTATATGGGCTATATTTTAAGTATTTAATAACCATATATGGATAGTAACTACTCTAGACACAAATATAGCCCATTTTCCCTCTTTGCCAAAAGTTGTACTGATTAGAAATCTCTAATATATGATTTCAGATGCAACCAAGTTTTCTTTTGAATATGGAAGCTAAAGTTTCAAACGCAATCATTTAAAGTCTTTTCTGAGTGAGCTAATTTACTAGTCTAATTCTACAAATACTCACTAAAAAGTATTAAAACTAACCCACCTCCAATTGTCTACTTGTTCTTGTGACATTGAACTTGTTTTTTCTGACTCTATGTAAAAGTTTTTCTTAACTGGAGGCAAATCTTGGGGAAAAAACAAAATTTAAACTTCAATCAGTAATGAGAATTCACATTTTACTGTCATTTATTCAAAGCAATAGAAATCAAACTAAAATATATATCAAGTTCGCCTTGCAGACATGGGGATTTTAGACAGTTGTTCTATACTTTGCCAACTTCTAGGAGATCTCCATTTTTGGTTTGTCTTTCAATTACATTTTTCACCCAAGAAAGATATCTTGAATAATTAAATAAAAAATAAACCATGCTTCACAAGACACTCAGTCATCACAACTGATGCATCTTTACTCATAGCAGACTAACTTTCTTTGCTTTGAAGATCCATCCCACTACTGTTAAGGAATAAAATATTTATCCTCATTCTATTCTCTGAAGCTAATTTGTTTTCTTTTTTAAATGCTCATCAGAACTCTACCAAACTTAAATCCTTTTTCTGTCCCCTACCTCTGCCCCAAATCTTCTAACACTTGTGTTGTGATGGCACTGGACAGGCAGACCACCGTAGTCACACAGTAATGGTCTCTGCTTAACTTTAAATAAATGGTGTTGTTTTTCTGTCTCATTCTGATCAAATGAAGCTTGAATTTACTCTGAAATTCAATGAATAATATGGAACATTATACTTAATATATAATTCCAAGTGAGAATTTTAAAAATCTGTTTCCTCAAGAACTGTATGCACTTATTAAATGTTTTCCCATTTTATTTTGTCCTTCTTGATTAAGAAACTCCAAGATCAATTTTTGCTCAGTCACAGCAAAATGTTAACTTATGGTTGGCAGGTTTACTCACTTCATTTCCCTTTTGTCCCAATTTTCTGATTTTATTCACCTTGTGCAGTGAGTTATCTCAAAGAAAACAAGATATCAAATTTTAACCTCCCATTTATAACATAAACCACAACACAGATATAGAAACTATCATGCCCGAGGCACTACTTGGAGCATTTCAAATTCTACTCTCATTTTGCATATAGATTTCATTACTAAGAGCAACACTTTTTTTACAGAGGCTAAAAACCTCAATTAAGAGGAACAACAATATACTATAGGTAAATGCTGGGATCCAGCACTAACCTGCCCACTTTTTCTCATTCCATTTCAAAATGTTTTCTCGGAATTTATCCCAATCAATTAATTTCTGCTCTCCTGAAACATCCTTTATTGTATCTTTTCCATCCGAAAGTTGGACAGCAGCAACATCTGTTAAAAAATTCCACATGAGTTTCCAAACAAACCTAACCAATATAAAATCCCAATACATTTTACAATTTTCTGTTTTAATAACCCAACAATAATAATGCCTGAAACATAAAATTTAGGAATTTAGTACAACAGTGCCATGACAATTCTGGTCATGGTTTATCAGTTATTTACTTCAGATTTCTGAAAGGCAAAAAAAAAAATTACTGGAGAAGTTAAAAAGCATGAGCGCCTAATGATTGCTAATAAATCACACATCACTAAATCTTTATAATAATCCTGTATGGCAGATGCTACCCCAGGTAAACAGAGGAAATAGTATCCTAGAGGCTTTTTAGAGGTATTTTCCCAAGAAACACCAAGATGCAAGGTTGCTAGCTGAACACAAGGCTCTCCTGGAAATGGCTTAATAATGGCTTTCTCTCTAGTCCAAGTATATTTGAGATTTTTTTAAACATATCAAATACTTAAGCAGTTTTCAAAGTCAGTCACATCCCAGGGAAATGACCATAGACAGGAGGCTAGGACTACCCCTTGCTCTACTATCAACAGCGAAGTGTATTAAAAGGTTATTCTGTTTTACTACTAAAACTGCTAGACTTAACCACAGATACTAAGTGTTTCAGTTTGAGGAAAAGTATTCTGGATTTCATAGAAAAAGATTCCTTCTATAAAATACTAGATTTAACGATGGCAAGCCAAAGCTATATTATCAGGAAAAACAGCTATAATACAGCTTATGACACTGAATAAAACATTTAAAATTTTACAGGACTTTAAGGGGCAAAACAGACTTACCAAGTTTGGGTTCTGTGTTGCATTCTTGTTTTTTAACAAGATCATCTATCACTGTTTTTGCTTTGCTCTGCATTGCCTTGGTGCCCAAGATTCTTACTTCTGCTTCAGGATACCCTCTTATTATCTAGATTCAATAGGGAAGGCGGGTGAGACAAGTTCCCTTACCATTCCTCTGGCACTCAGTCTCATGTAGTATAAAAATGTAAAGGAAATACAGCATTGCCATCAATCACCATCTAAGACATAATGAATGCACTACAGCTTAGATGACTTTTTAAAAAGAAGTATGAAAAACTTTGTCAACTTATCTAAGTTACCACCATATGTTAATAACAGGACAGAAAATACTTAGGAATGACCATAATTCACCCTCTTAAATGACTTAAGAACACAGAAAATTTACCTGTATTTTCGTGTATGTTGAGCTCTGGATCTCTTTTATGTTTGACCCACCACGACCTGTTTTTAAAATAAAAGAATTTTTAAAAAATGAAATCAATTACAGGGAACCTACTACCTACTCTGCTTAAAGAACCTTCTCTGCTACGGCTGCTGCAAAGTTGCTTCAGTTGTGTCCGACTCTGTGCGACCCCATAGACGGCAGCCCACCAGGCTCCCCTGTCCCGGGGATTCTCCAGGCAAGAACACTGGAGAGGGTTGCCATTTCCTTCTCCAATGCATGAAAGTGGAAAGTGAAAGTGAAGCCGCTCAGTCGTGTCCGACTCTTCCCAACCCCATGGACTGCAGCCCACCAGGGCCCCCTTCATCCATGGGATTTTCCAGGCAAGAGTACTGGAGTGGGTTGCCATGTCCTTCTCCAGAATCTTCTTTAGTTCTTCCCAAATTATCCAAACAAAGGCTCCCAAGGTTCAGTAATCACGTTCAGTTTGTTAAAAGGGAAGCAGAAGCTTTCTATTCCAAATTGTGTGGGTGATAGGAGGCTCCTTTCCCCAGATACAAAGGATTCATCAGCAGCACAAGCAAAGACTAACTGGATAAAAGAATGTGGATAAATTGGAACCCTTACACAAAATTCAACCCAAAAATTCCAACTAAAAATGTTCAAAGGTCTTGAATAGACCCTTCTTTGTAGATTTATTTATGACCAATGCATGTATATAAAAGGATGATGAAATCATTGGATATGCAAATCAAAACCACAATGACGTATCACCTGTTAAATGGCTCTCATCAAAAAGACAAGGGTTAACAAGTTGGTGAGGACATGGAGAATGGGAACCCTTGTGCACTGTGGATGGGGATGGAAATTGATGCAGCCACTATGGAAACAGCATGCAGATTCCTTTAAAAACTAAAAATAGAACTACCTATGATCCAGCAATCCCACTTCTGGGAACTTAATACACAAGCATTGAGGAACTTCCCTGGTGGTCCAGTGGTTAAGGATCCACCTGCCAATGCAGGGAACATGGGTTCCATCCCAGGTCAGGGAACATCCCACAGGCCTCAGAACAGCTAATAAGCCCAGCACCACAAGTACTGAAGCCCACATACTCTAGAGAAGCCGGCAACAAGCTGAGCGGAGCCCTCACTCTCCACAACGAGAGGAAGTCCACACACAACCAACACTAAATTAATTAAATAAATACATTTACAGAAAGAATTGAAACTAGGATCTTACGATGATAGCTGAATTCCCATATTCATTTCAGCATTATTCACAATAGCTCAGAGGTGGAAATAACCGAAGAATCTGTGAACAGATGCCTGGATGAAGAAAATGTGGTGTATGCATACAATGCAAGTTATCAGCCTTAAAAGGAAATCCTGCCATTTGTGACAACAAACATAAACCTTGAGAGGGAAATGAGTCAATAACAACAACAACAACAACAAACCCTGCAGATTCCACTTCTACGAGGTGTCTTATGTAATCAAACTTAGAGAAACAAAGAAGAATGGCAATTGCTGGAGGGAATGGGGGTAGGTGGCATGATGGGGAAACAGGTGAATGGGGAAATGAGTTGATGATAGGGAGATTCATTCATGCAAGATGAAAACCTTCTACAGACCTACTACAAATATTGTTATCACAGTCAACAATACTGTAAGTGTATGTTATTTACCACAATTTTTAAAAGGGGGGCAAACCTTAATTCCAATCATTTCTAAATGCTTTTCAAAAATGGATTTATAAGACTTAATATATGTGAAGAAAAAAAACCCTGTTTTTCAGCAGATAAATCATATTCAAGTTAATACCCTACACCTTCTTATCTAAATTCACTGTCGTCTTTGTTGTCATTTCACGATAAGCTGCCAAAGATCTGACCTTTTTTGCCCAAAGATTTCACAAGTCTAAGAGTTGGCTCTCCCAAATTACAGTCTCTATAAACTATCACCTAACCTTCCTCTTGAGAAATCTTGAGAAATCTGTATGTAGGTCAGGAAGCAACAGTTAGAACAGGCCATGGAACAACAGACTGGTTCCAAATAGGGAAAGGAGTATGTCAAGGCTGTATCTTGTCACCTTGCTTATTTAACTTATATGCAGAGTACATCATGAGAAACACTGGCCTGGAAGAAGCACAAGTTGGAATCAAGATTGCCAAGAGAAATATCAATAACCTCAGATATGCAGATGACACCACCCTTATGGCAGAAAGTAAAGAAATACTAAAGAACCTGTTGATGAAGGTGAAAGACAGGAGTGAAAAAGTTGGCTTAAAACTTAACATTCAGAAAACTAAGATCATGGCATCTGGTCCCATTACTTCATGGGAAATAGATGGGGAAACAGTGGAACCAGTGACAACCTTTATTTTTTGGAGGCTCCAAAATCACTGTAGATGGTGACTGCTGCCACAAAATTAAAAGACGTTTGCTCCTTGGAAGAAAAGTTATGACCAACCTAGACAGCATATTAAAAAGCAGAGACATTACTTTGCCAACAAAAGTACATCTTGTCAAGGTTATGTTTTTTCCAATAGTCATGTATGGATGTGAGGGTTGGACTATAAAGAAAGATGAAAGCCAAAGAATTGATGCTTTTGAACTGTGGTGTTGGAGGAGACTCTTGAGAGTCCCTTGGACTGCAAGGAGATCCAACCAGTCCATACTAAAGGAGATCAGGCCTGGGTGTTTATTGGAAGGACTGATGCTGAAGCTGAAACTACAATACTCTGGCCACCTGATTCGAAGAACTGACTCATTGGAAAAGACCCTGATGCTGGGAAGGATTGGGGGCAGGAGAAGAAGGGGACGATAGAGGATGAGATGGCTGGATCACATCACCAACTCGATGGACATGGCTTTGGGTGGACTCCGGGAGCTGGTGATGGACAGGGAGGCCTGGCGTGCTGCAGTCCATAGGGTCGCAAAGAGTCGGACACGACTGAAAGAGTGAACTGACTAACTGAACTGATAAACCATCAAGTGTTGCATCAACGCAAAGGACGTCAGCAACCTCTGGGTGGGGCGGGGGGAGGGGACAAGCCCGCTGGCGGGCAGGTGACTGGAGACGAGGTGGGCGCGGCGGGAGTGCCACAGGCCCCACCCCCGCCCCCGCCACGCACCTTTCTGAGCCCAGCTAAGCTCTTACCGATCACGGCGCCCACGCAGTCATTCTTCAGCTTGAAGGAGAGCGGCGGTTCTCGAATACCCGTGCCCTCAGGCTGCTGGAGGCCGAAGGAGCCCCTCCGGCCTCCACCCGCGCAGGCCCTCTGACCTCTTCCAGCGCCTTGGCTCAGCTCCTCCGCTGGCCTCGTATTCGGAGCCCGAAGCAGTGCCTCATCCCGCCGGGAAGCAGCGACCCAGGAGGAGGCGTTGGCGCCAGTTTCTGGCTGAGACATGGCTCCGCGAACAAGATCCGGCCCTGCACCTTCGGAGTGCCTTCGAAGGCGGGTCCTCTAGGGCCGCCACGCAGCCGCGGCTCAGGTGCTCACGCGCCGGCGCCCCGCCCCGGCCGCCTCCCATTGGCGGACGCCACACCCTGAGCGGGGCCGGACCAATGGACTCCCTCCGTTCTGCCCCTCCGCCGACCCGCGAGCGCTGATAGGAGTCTCTGGGCCCGCCCGAGTGCCTGGGGCCCTCCGCGCTCACATGTGGACTGGCCGTTGCGAGGAGCCACGTTTCAGTGACGCAGACGCAGCAGTCACGGCCTCAGTATTGTTTTTGAAAGCATAATACGTAAGTGTTTATTTTAATTATTTCTATTTGAACGGTCTTATTTCTGCAGAATGGCAAGACATCTTGTACTCTACATTCTTTAAAGGCTTCCACAGGTTTTGGCAAACACATGTGATCCTTCAGAGTAGGTCTAGGTATGTCAGTGGACTCAGAAACAACGGACCTCACCAGCGCTTTAAGACGTGTTTAAGGTGGAAGCCATAGCACTCTGCAACTTGCCTAAACTGATGAGGCAAAGGTCCAGGGGCCACCAGCTTCTTCCAGGTGGGTTGGAGCCTTGCATCAGGCATGCAAGACACTGGCAGTGCTGTATTCCAGAGATGTGCCCAGTCTCATGGGTTAAAGTCTAACAGACTTTATGAAGATGGTCTGACTTGTTTATATTATTCCTTTATTACCATTTTTAAAATCTTTTTAAAGTCCATGGAATCTTCAGTGCTGTCTCGTCTTCAACCCATTTATGATGTTGGTAATCTGTATCTTCTATTTTGCTTAGTTTAACCTGGCTAGAGGTTTATCAATTTTTCCCCCCAAAGAACCAGCTTTTGGATCCATTCATTTTCTCTTTTGATTTCCTGCTTTCAATTTGATTTTTACTCTTTAATTATTTATTTTGCTTACTTTGGATTTAATTTGCTCCTCTGTTTCCAACTTCCTTAGGTGGAGACTTAGATGACTGATTCTAGATCTTTCTTCTTTTTTAATATATGCATTTAAGGCTATATACTTAGAAGCATTTCTATCTAAGCAGTTTTCACTGTATCCCACAAATGTTGAGTTGTGTTTTCATTTTCATTTAGTTCAAGCAGTTGTTGCCATCAGGACTTCCTTGGTCGTCAAGTGATTAAGACTGCACTTCAGTGCAGGGGCCCAGGTTCTGTCCTTGGTTGGGGAAGTTCCTCAGTGCCTCTGGATACAGGAAAAACAAACACACACACACTAAAAGTCAAAAATTATTGTTCCAAAAGCAAACTTGAGTCCACTCACCTGCCACACACCAAAGCCAATCAACTGACCCTCGGTTATGATGAAGAAAATTACAGTGTTTATTTGTGGGGCACCAAGTAATAGAGAGGAAATGAACCCTGAATACACTTTGGAAGGACTGATGCTGAAGCTGAAGCTTCAATAATTTGGCCACCTGATGTAAACAGCTGACTCATTGGAAAAGACCATGATGCTAGGAAAGATGGAGGGCAGAAGGAGAAGAGGGCAACAGAGGATCAGATGGCTAGATGGCATAACTGATAGGATGGACATGAGTTTGGGTGAACTCCGGGATATGATGTGGGACAGAGAAGCCTGCATGCTGCAGTCTGTGGGTTTACGAAGAGTTGGACATGGCTTGGTGACTGAACAACAAGAAGGAGAATAGGCAGCTCATGCTTAAAAGGCCTGAACTCCCTGATGACTTTCAGGACAGAGTTTTTAAAGGCAGTATTTGGAGTGAGAGCTGAGGCTTATGGAATTTCTCACTGGTTGGTGGTGATGTAACAAGGTGTTTTGGGAATCTTAGTCATAACCTTTCGGCTCCAACCAGTCTAGGATCTACTCGTGTTCAGCATATTGTCACCATCCTTCACTTGGGTGGGGGTATTTGGTTTCTGCATAGCCCTCAAAGATATGTTTAAGACTGTTACCTATGTCTCTTGAGGAGGAACTGGAACTGTTTATGGCTGACAAATTTTTCAGGCTGTCTTGCTTAATTGCTGATTCTGGTCTGTCTTAACCAAAGTCCTGGTTCCTCCTTGAGGAACAAAACAATATGCCTTTGAGTTCTTGTGGAGGAACTCAAGCCCCACCCAGATGGAGGATGGTAACTTACCGATGAACAGACCATTCCTAGACGACAACCCTGATACCTTACACCAACCAATCAGAAAAAAGTCATACACCCTGCAGTCCTCACTCCAAATTTTCTTTAACATCTTTTCCCCAAACCGCAGGGGAAGTTTGGGTAATTTGAGCCCAAGCCACCCATTCTCCATGCTTGACCCTTGCAGTAAATATTTCTTTGTTCCAAAGAGATATTTTGGTTGTTTGGCTTCAGTGTGCTAGGGCGCAAAAACTTGGGTTGAGCAACCTTGGTATGTCTTTGTATTCAAATAGGCTTCTTGTAGACAACATACTGTTGGGTCTTCTTTCTTGATCCATTCCGACAATCTCTGACTTCACTGCCCACTGACATTAAAGTGATTACTGAAATAGTTGATTAATATCTGCCATATTCATTACTGTTTTCTATTGCTGAGTTTGGTTACAGCTCAGGAGTTTTATTTGGTAAACAAAGGCTAGTACACCCCCAAAGCATGAAGTGGGCCAGCCCTGAAGGAGAGGCCTTACCCTGTCTCGGCTCCCTCTTTTTATACTTTTTGTCCGCTGCCCTGCAAGCCTGCCATATGCAGATTAGGGCGTCATCATCAATCAGGATGATAGTGTGGAAGTGGGCGTGTTTGTTTCACCTAAGCTTCCCACTCCTGTCTGGGGAGTTTTCCTCAATTTCCTTTTTGCAGGCTTTTCTCCTTTCTCCATTTTGGACTCCTTTTTCTATTCTAACTACCTAATATTGCTGTTGTTCTTGTTTTTGAACTTTCATTCTTTTCAACATTTTGTGGTTTTAATTGTGCAAATTAATTTTATTTTCTCTCCTATCTTAGTTGAACAATTATTTTGCTTATTTTTAATTGAGTTGTTTTATTATTGCAGTCTACAGGGTTGCGAAGAGTTGGTGACTTGGCGACTGACTGAACAAAAACAATTTTATTGAGTTTTAACCATTCCTTGTCTAGTTTATATACAAATCCATTATTAGAAATGTGCTCTGCAAATAGTTTCTCCAAGTCTGTGGCTTGTTTTTTTTTTCTTTAAACAGTGTCTTTCACGATTAAGTTCTGTTTTTGTTTTGTTTGTTTGTTTGTTTGTTTTCCTGCACTGTGAGGCTTGTGTGATCTTAGTTCCTGACCAGGGATTGAACCTGGGTCTGGCGGTGAAAGTGCTGAGTTCTAACCACTGAACTGTGAGGAAATTCCCAGAAATTTTGATTAATTTTTATTTGATGTTCTGAAAGATTTTCTTCATTTTGTTCTGCCATATAAAGGTGACATCTACAAACATTTAAAGAAGAAATTGTACTAGTGATCTAAAATCTCTTCCAGAAAACAGAAGCAGGGAGGATAGTTCCTAATTGAGACCAAAACTACCCTTACACCAGTATGAACACTGAAGCTGAATATGGGTTTTGAGTGGTAATGATGTGCAGATGTGGGTTCATCATAGTAACAGATGCACCCGTAATAGTGAAGGATGCTGACTGGGAGGGGGGTCCCGAGGGAGGGGTGGAGGGTTAATGAGATGTATGTGAGAAGCCTCTGCACTTTCTGCTCCATTTTGCTGTGCACTTAAAATTACTCTCTTAGGCCTTTTTTTTTAAAATTATTTAGGTAGAGCGTTATGTCTGTCCAGCTTCCCTTGTTTTGTTTGTTTTGAATTATCTAATTCCTTCCCCTTGGGTGTTTGATTAGGAAAATTAACATTCTGATACTGTTTTTTTCACTTGGTGACAGATGGTGAAGAAAGAGACATCTAAGACACTAATTCCAGATAATATAACTCTTTGTACTTTTCTTATACTTGCATTTTAAATTATTCATCAAATACAGCAAAATGCATCACCACCCTATCTGTGATACTAAGCCTTTTGTTATAACCAACTGACACTTAGAAGGGCCTTCACTTAAGCAGGTAAAAAATCGGTATGATTATGGGGATTTAAGGTGAGGCCTATCACCTACTCGCCCCCTCTAGACATGGATAGAAAAGGAACAAAAGGGTGAGTTCAAGCATGATTCTGACCTGAAAGGCCCTGGAGGCTGCACTTTCTGCAGACAGAAATGTGTCCACTGGCTCACACATTGACCTGGGGTAGGACAGGTGACACTGACTTCCAGCTCTGGAGTTGGGCAGGGACTTGTCCTGCTCCAAAGGCAGGGGAACTAGCACGGGTCCACCAAAGTCCTACTGGACCCTTCTCCGCTGCAAAATGCTCAAGCCTCGCAGGTCTGAGGCTGAGAAGCTGCGTGGTGGCCCAGCTCCCAGGGTGGGGCTGGAGGTCACCTCTGTATCAGCCCCAGGAACCAGCGGGGTGAGGAGCCTCTTTCCTACAAGGGGACTCAAATCCTTCCTAGTCAGAGATGAGCAATTCTACTCGAATTTGGGCACACACCAAGGTGAGAACTCAGCAGGAACTGTGATTTTGGAAAACAGACCCTTTAGGGCTTAATTTGTCACCTGGACCAGGGAGGATGGCACTGTCTCATAGAGAGTCCCGACCACCAAACGGGTTCTTCTCATTCAGTTGTTAGACTGCTGTGAGGTGGGCGTGCATGTCTCCATTTCACAGGTAAAGAAACTGAAGTTGGGGGGCGCTGTACTTGAGGTCCCGGGGGAGGGGGAGGTGAGGCCTAAGCCAGCCTTTCCTGCAGCGCCATTTTTCTGGCTCAGTCAGTAAAGGGTCTGCCTGCATTGCGGGAAACCTGGGTTCAATCCCTGGGTCAGGAAGATCCCCTGGAGAAGGAAATGGCAACCCACTCCAGTATTCTTGCCTGGAGACTTCCATGGATAGAGGAGCCTAGCAGGCTACAGTCCATGGGATCACAAAGAGTTG